GATAAGAATATTATCTAGTTTCACATCCATCAATCTGTTATCCACTACATTCTTGAATCGAACAAACCCAAATCTTTTCCTTAGCTTGTCTCTCTTGGCAGGAATTATCACTTCTAACACAATCTAGAAATTCAGTGAAGAAAAAAGATGTCATGGTGTCACCTACTTCCATACTTTCTTTCCCATTTTTGGTGGTCCAAATGGATCTTCTTGGAAGACTTTCCTTATTTTTCCTCTTTTTCCTAACCTCTACCCACTCTATTTGCTTCATTATTCTAATGAACTTCACAATTATATCAAGACCCAGTAGAAAAGTAGCTAATCGAAGAAGCAAAAGTAGAATAAAGAGAAGAATGAATCCACCTCAGGGGGAGGAAGGTCCCTAATCCTAAGATTAGGACTTTAAACAAACCCCCCAAGCCCAACTCATCTTCCCTAACACTAAGAATGGTTGAACCTGTTTCAGGTAATCCCCAGATAATGTGTATTAACCAAAACTCAAATTTCAAGACTTTCTAGTTTTTGCTAGTGTGCCGAACACAATTTGGTAGGCCATTATTTCTAAGCCTGCTTGATGTTTTTAGTTGACAAGGTTTTTTTAATGGTTTTACTTTCGAACAATAACTTTTTAAATATATGTTTAAATTTTTAGTCTTTTAAATTTAAAATTATTATTTTTTAAGTATTTTAAATAAATAAAATATAAAGTGTGTGTTTAAATTGTTATGATAAATATAAACTGGAAGCTTGATGATAAGAGTGAACATATGAATCTGGTAGAATATCATAAGACTGGAGCATACAGGTTGTTCAATCCAATTAATCGAAAGATTATGATGAGTCGAGACATTGCGATTGATGAAAATTCTGTCTGGGATTGGAATTCTAGTAATGCAATTGACAAGTCACTGATGAGCTATGATTTTGAACAAACAAGTAATGATGTCAAAGTCAAAGATATTGTTGATACTCCAGTCAAAGAAGAAGTAAAAGCAGTTGCTGACATTCTCGACAGAGTCAAAGTCAGAGAGGTTATAGTTGGCACAAGTCAGAGACCTCAAAGAACTAGAGCTCGTCCAACAAGACTTCAAGACTATGAAGTGGTTGGTGATGATGAAGTCATAATAGATGAGGAACTAGTCCATTTTGCTTTACTTGCAGGTGCTAAACCAATCAACTATAGTGAAGCCTTCAAAGATAAACAATGGAAGTCTGCTATGGTCGAATAGTTACAAGCAATTGAAAGAAAACAACACATGGGAGTTGGTCGAATTGACAGCTCATACAAAAGTTATCAAAGTAAAATGGGTGTTCAAGTTGAAGCACAATGATGATGGGTCGATAGCAAGGCATAAGGAGAGATTGGTAGCTCGAGGATTTCTCCAGAAAGTAGGACTCGACTACTCTGAAGTATTTGCACTTGTTGCAAGATTGAAAACTATTCGACTAGTGGTGGCCTTGGCATGCAAGCAGGGCTGGACAACATTTCACTTAGATGTGAAATCAACATTTTTGAATGGACCTTTAGAAGAAGAGGTGTATGTCACACAACCTCCTGGGTTTGTAATTCAGGAGGAAGCAGGTAAAGCATACAAGTTGCAAAATACGCTCTATGGTATCAAGCAAGCATCTAGGGCATGGTACAAGAAGATTGACTCATACTTGGTTGAATTGGGATTCGTAAAATGCAAATCTAAGTATGGTGTCTATGTTCAAGTTGTGGCACAAGATATAATAATAATCTTCTTATATGTTGATGACTTGCTAGTAACTGGAAATAGCCTGAAGAACTTGTCGAAGTTCAAAGAGCTTATGAAGAAGGAATTTGAAATGTCGGATCTAGGAAAGTTGCCATACTTCCTAGGCATGGAATTTCAAATGTCGAAGCAAGGCATGGTGCTACATCAAAGAAAGTATATCAAAGAGATGCTCAAGAGATTTAGAATGGATGATTCGACTCCTGCATCTTCGCCTATCGAACCAAATTTAGAGTTGGAGAAGCATGGAAGAAGTAAGCATATCGAAGCTAGATTTCACTTCTTAAAGGAAAATGTAAATCGATGTGAACTTGAAGTTAGGCACTGCTCAAATGAAGGAAAGTTGGCTGACATATTCACCAAAGGATTGAAGATCGACAGATTCCTGAATTTGAGGAAGAAATTATGAAGAGTTCAGATCGACTATGATTAACATAGGTTCGACAATTTGGATTATGGAGGGGGGGGGGGGGGGGGGGTATGTTGAAATATTAGATTTGATTAGATTTAATATAATTCAAGTTGTATTAGTCTAAGTCCAATTAGAATTGTATATAAATAGTCATAGTATGTATCATTATTTATAACAATTCATTCAATAAATTCTTATTTTTTTATTCTCTCTCTTTCTCTCTACACTAAAAGTGTCTCACGCACTAACACTTTACACGCCTTTTGAGCTTAATCAAACCTTGCAGAGGAAATTTCCATACATAAGATTTTGACTATTGATTATTAATTAAATCACTGATATGTTAAATGTGAGTGATTAAAAGGACATCATTCTTTAGTAGTCTAAATGTAAATTTGTGTTGCATTGTTTAAAATTTTGTTATCTAATTATGATATAAAGGACGGTCTTGTGTGTCAAATATTCAACAATGGTGTCCTTCTTTTTCCAAAAATAAATATGGTTTCATTTCTTAAAAACCGCTTTAAAATCAGACAGTATTATAAATATTAAAGTACTTTCTGTTCCTTTATTTTAAAATAATTGTCATTTTAAAGAAGAAAAAAATTGTTTTGAAATTAATGTTATTCTCAGTTTTCAATATTGAAATAATTGTTATTTTTTCAATTATGTCTTTAATTATTATTTTGTACGCTATTTCTGACATATTAATAAAATTAATTTGTTAAATGTGTACTATCTTATAACAATATTATTATATTATATTCTTTGATTCGTATAAAAAAAAACTTAAACAACAATTATTTTAAAACCCGAATATAAATTTATTTGGAAAAAAAATACATAGACATAAATAGTCCAACCATTATCTAACGCAACAAAGCACTTCAGATTCTTACACTTCAGTTTTTTTCTTTTTTTGTATTTTAATTTTTGGAGTATTCTAAGTGGAGCTAAATTTGTCTAATTTAAGGAAGAAACATAGCTAAGAAAGATAAAACAAAATATTTAGAGAGACAAGCTCTCCACTCTCTCTAAACTTAAGATTTGCACATGTTTTTGTTGAGATATTGCTACTTCCATCTCATAATAAGGGTCTTGGTTTATACTCTGCGGAGTTTTTAATAAAATGATAAGAAATATTGATTTTAATGATAAAATTAGTATTTTTTCTATCTTATAAAAAGTGTTTTATTTGTATTTTTTTACGTTTCAAAATAAATGTTTTTTTAGAATATAATATAATATTGATTATTTTTTTTAATATTATATTTTTATTTATTAACTTTCACATTTTTCAACTACTTTACTAAATATAATAATAAATAAGGGTATTTTAGTAAAAACTACTAATTTTATCATTAAAATCAATACATCTAATCATTTTCTTAAAAACCGTGCAAAGCTCAAATAAGACATTTGTTACGAGACAGAGCTAGTATATTTTACTAAAATATTCTAGGATCTTTCTAACACATCCCCTCATGTCCAACACTCTTTTTAGGCTTGTTATGTGGACCTTCTAATCGATAAACTCTGATACCATATTAGAGTTTGGTCTAACACAACCTTACAAAACCGGTTGATAAGGTGAAGGGTGTCACTTTATATAAACTATTTAAATACTCTATCTTCAACTAATGTGATATCATTTTATTCTAATCGATAAGATCTTTCTAACAGAAAATATCATTTTATTTTATTTTTTTCAATAAACAAAGAACAATCCCAAAATTCAGACTGAATTTATTCAAATGTTTTGTAAAAATAATGTTGAATGTTTTAATTTTAGTAAAAGAGTTTGCATATGAAGCAAAAGATTTGGTGTCATCCTTTTGGTCCCTCAAGAGTGCTAACCTCTTCTCCCTTACACTCATCCACTCCACATTCCTCTCAGCGTAAAACAAAGGAATTGACCAACATTTTTGTGTATGTTTGATTTTATTTTTGAAAAAAAAAGCCAATTTTGAAGATATAGATTTAAATTTGGTATTTTTGAAAAAAAAAAGCCAATTTTGAAGATATAGATTTAAATTTGGTTAAAAGAAATTGATTTTATATTTAGTTAAAGTTAGTATTAAAATTTATCATTACACTACATAAGTATATTCAAACATAAATTTTAACTTCAATTCTCTATTAATTAAAAATAATTTATTCCAAGTTAATTTTTTCACCACACCCAATATTTACTTAATCAATATAATGCAAAAGTCAAAATCAAAAATCAACTATGATAATAAATTATAGACTAAGATTTACGATATTATTCTCTTTATTTTAAATTCAAAAAAAAAAAAAGAATTGGTCTCTCTCACTTTTTTACATTGAAATTCAATTAATTGTATATTTTTCAACTTATATTTTTTATCTATAAATTTCATAAAACATTTCTATATTATCACGTTTCTGAAATAATATATTATTTAAAAGTAAACATATCATTAATTTTAAGAATAAATATTTGAATTTAAAATAGATGATTAATTATGTAAGAAGAATAATTTTAGAATTAAGCCTAAATTATATCTTCACTCTCAATTTTAAATTAGTTTTGCACAAATAATGTTCATGACAAAACACTAGATCTTCATTTATAATTATAGAAGGAAGGGATAAAGAAAAAACTAATAGAGTTTTATAATTATAGAGGAGCTAGTATATTATTTTGATAAATAACATGTCCCACTTTGTCTTTAACAATAGTCCTTTTCATAAATCTTCAATTTTTTCTCTATAAATAGCAACACTCTTCCACTTCCCTCTTCAAAAAAACAAACACTTACATCCCTTTTCACACACAAACAGAGCTTTCACACAGAAACAGAGCAATGACTAACTTCAAAATCATCGCCATTGCCACCCTCTTACCCCTTCTTCTCACTTCAACCCAAGCCACACTCCCCGGCATCTACCCCGCAGGAGCATGGCAGACCGCCCACGCCACCTTCTACGGCGGCAACGACGCCTCCGGAACAATGGGTCAGTAATTCTAAAAAAACAACCACCAAATCAAACCACCGACCAAGTCACAATTTCTTTTGTTAATACTAATAATGTTTTTTTTTCAGGAGGCGCGTGTGGGTACGGGAACTTATACAGTCAAGGCTACGGTGTCAACACGGCGGCATTAAGCACCGCACTATTCAACAACGGCTTAAGCTGCGGCGCGTGTTTTGAAATAAAGTGCGCAAATGATCCTAGCTGGTGCCACGCTGGCAGTCCTTCCATATTAGTCACTGCAACAAACTTTTGTCCACCAAATTATGCTTTACCAAGCGATAACGGTGGTTGGTGTAATCCTCCACGTCCACACTTCGATCTCGCCATGCCTATGTTTCTCAAAATCGCTCAGTATCGCGCCGGCATTGTTCCCGTCTCTTATCGCCGGTAACTACCGTTATATTTTGTTCAGATTCATTGAATAACTGATATATTAGATTATATAAGTATATTGTCTTTCTTCCGTCAAGACAGTTCAGAGACATCAGATACAGAGACGCAAGAGACATCAGACACAGGAAGTGGGTTTGAAATAATTGTGTGTTTTGATGTGCAGGGTATCATGTAGGAAGCAAGGAGGGATAAGATTCACGATCAACGGCTTTCGTTACTTTAACTTGGTTTTAATCACCAACGTTGCGGGTGCAGGGGATATCGTGAAGACGAGTGTGAAAGGTTCGAAAACTGGTTGGTTGAGTATGAGTCGTAACTGGGGGCAAAATTGGCAATCAAATGTTGTTTTGGTTGGACAGACACTTTCTTTTAAGGTGACAACAAGTGACAAACGCACTTCCACTTCTTGGAATGTTGTTCCTTCTAATTGGCAGTTTGGTCAAACTTTCAATGGCAACAATTTTCAAGTCTAGTGAAGAATAGTGAAGAAAACTGAAAAGTGCTTTTTTTATAAGTTGTAATTTGAATTTTACTTGGAATGTGGATATGAGGGAAACAAGGTAGAGAAAATAGGGAGGAAAAAGGAGGATTATGATAGTGACTAGTGAAGTTTTTTTAAGTGTGTTTATTTGGTATATGGGATTTATAAGTTTTTATAAGTTTTATAGAATTTTTTTTTTTAGTTTTTAGATTATGTGAAATTTGTAAGAAGCTGAAGTGGCTTCAAAGTTCAAATTCACTAGCCCGCAGCTATGTTTTTATATATTTTACATGTTGTTATACTACGTTTTATATTATGTGATAAAATCAAGTGTGTTTGTCTTTATTCTCTTTTTTTAGCTTTATGTGTTACTTTTATTGAGATAGAGTTGTATGTGAATTTGGTTTTGGTTAAGTTGTTATTAGGAAGTGATTAATTGAATCGTGATTTGTTCTTTCTATTCTAGTTGTTGAAATTTGATAAAAGTGTGTTTAAGGCGGTTTTAAAAAGCACTTTTGCAAGCGCCGAAAAGCTAAAGTGGAAAACCGAAAAAGATTATTAAAATGGGTGTTAAGATAATCAATTCATTAACTGTACTTGTCTCTTTGTAGATCGGTATCAATTAATACCTTGCGTGATGTCTTTTGCAAATTCTCTTCATAGTGTGATAAATTAAATTAAAGGAAATGAAATTTGCATTAAATTTTACCCTGTTAATAAAGAGTAAAGAAAGTGTATCTCACTAAACCACACATATTTCTTTTAAATACTAATAATATAACATCATGGAATGATAGTTTTTGTTTAAAACCATATAAAATTATTTCGATGTATATGTATTAAACTCTTAAACTAAAGATAGTGCGATGGTATATTGTTTCGCTTTTTCTATTCGATTATAGTTTGTCATATATCTAGCTATAAGATTTAGCATATATCCTTATCCATTGCATATGGTTTGAAGAGGTTTTGCTAAAGTCAAACCTCTTTTAAATATTTTCTAGTCGGCCTACCAAATACTATTATATTAGAGCAAGTTATCAAACTCGAAATTTTAATTTAAGTAATTTTGTTTAAATAAATTTGATTAAAGATTTCTACTTATTAGTTTAATTTGTATAATTTATTTATTTTAAAATAACATTGAATTAGTATATATTTCATCTTGAAATTAGAATTAGATGTAGTTGAAGCATTGAAAATTTTGAATTCGTGGTGCTGATTTTTGACACAACGGTGTGAGGTAGACTTGTATGATTAGCACTTCAATGTCCAAATCAGTTCAAGATTCAACATGATTGTAATGAAAAATGGAGATCAGAAAAGTGTATTTTGCTTTCCGCGTGAACTGACTTTATATCTTGAGTTAAATGGAGTGGATTCGAGATAAAATCTGACTTAATTGTTTGGACATTTGACCGGTTCAAAACAGTTTTCCCGGAGGCTTTGTCGGGCAATGAGAGGGTAAGGGAGGCCTTTAGTGATTTTGGCTAGCCTCCACATATGTTGTTCAATGCAAACTACAAATGAAATGATCGGAGTCAATTGAAAAAGTAATGGGGAGTAAACGCGTTAAATGCAATTCCATAACTGAAACGTTTCGATGCTTCATTTTGACATGTGGGCTAACGTGACTATTTAACGCATATTTTTGCTTATAGCACTTCAGTTTGCTTGTATTTCAAGGAGAAATACAGTCGTTGATCTTGTAACTCTTCTCCACCGCCGATATGGATTTTCCAATCATCCTTGCTTATAAATAGAGGGAGTTGAGTTGTGAGAAAAAATTTCGTAATCCTTGGCATTCAAGCTCATTCATACGTACTCTTACTAACAAACATTTTCTTCTCTTCCTTCTTGAAAGCGTTCATCATCGATTGTAGCCTTTTGATCAAGGTCTCTCTGCCTTTCTTCATTTCCCTCGCTTCATTAATTTTATCTAACTGGTAACCCTTCTCAAATCAAGTTTTTTCCTTCAACATTTCTCATGTTCTAACCGAGATGAGTGAGAGTATTGTTCAACGAGTGAGTGATTCTAAGAGTAATACTTCTTTTATTGTGGGAATGGGAGTAACCCCTGATTCTCATCTCCCTCTCATTGCTAACAGGCGTATGGGCCAAGAAGTTATATCTTTATTTGATGATTTTGATTCGAAAAGGGTACCTAGGAACTCCCTTGATGAATGAGCTTCTTCATTCAATTCTTTCAAGACCCTTTTATCAAATGACACTGAATAAGGGAATCGTACTGAGGTCCATATGCCCCCCTCCCGTTTTGATTGAGGAGGAAATACAAGTTATCAAGCGGATAAGGGAATCCGCTAACAATTTCGTCCAACTTTATTTGAGAACCAATGATCGTAAACATAGCGACGCTGAAGTGAGGAATCACTTGGAGCTTTGGGGCAGGCCCAATGTACTTTCTTGGATAACACCCGGTGAACATTCTAAAGTTAAATATTTGACCTAGATAGGCATGACGTTGGTGGAGTTGGTTTATGCAGTTAAGTACAGTTTGTGGATGCATAAGTGGTGGGTGCCCCGTCCTTTCTGAGTATTGAAGCGACAGTAGATTATGTTGGCATCGTGGTTGGTGACCCTCTGGACTGGTCGGTTATTCTTGTGGTTCTTAGTTTAGGTTATTTTTCAACTTATTTTACATGATTCGAACCTCTCATACAACTACCCGGATCAAAGGCCCTTAGCTTCCACCTCGACAATCCTCTCTATGACCCCTTCACTCAAAACTAAGGCGATTTTCTGAGGCGTTTCTTGCTAGAGATACCCCTTACTCTAGAGGCTTGTCTTGCCTTTTCCTCACCCCTGGGCGGATCTTATCGTTTCTATAAAGGAGGATTCTTGAAGTATTGTCCATCGCCCCACTGCCATCGTGACGTCCATTTCTACAACAGCAAGTTAGGTTTTATCTTCTCCAACAAAGTGGCAATGAAAGGGGATCTACGCTCTTGGTTCCCAAGACTTAGCTATGAAGAATGGTTTGGCCTCAATGAGACGTCTTATTTCAATGTGAGGAAGAAGAAATTGATACTTACGCCATCGTGAGTGTGGTCAGCCAGAAGGAGGGGAAAGATATTTTTGATGATGACAAAGTTCCATTATTTTGTTAACATGTGTGATTTCCTTTGTCATATAACATGGACATATTGAAGATGGCACGCGATCTTGCCAACACTCAAGGCATCAATATCGGTCCTACTGGAAAGGTCTTGTCGCCCCCTCCTACGTCTACTGCTCCTTCTCTGACCATAGCTCATATCTCGAAAACCGAAACCATTGTCGATGTCCTCGGGTTTGACCATCTTATTAATGTTGTGTTCGTTTAACCGTAGAGGATACGCCCCCTGCCACCTATTTCAAAAAAGAGGGATCTAGATGATGACCAACCTTCTTTTCTAGAAGTGGGTTCTCCCAAACTATCTTGTCTGACCACATATGTTTCTCTAGGAACATTGACTCTCTTCCTGAGCATGCCTTCCATTCCCCCTTCTGGCTCGCTTGCACCCTTAAGGAAGTTGTTATTGTAACGACGGAGGATTTGTTCATTGTTTAAAACCTTCCTGAAGTTGAGAAGATTGATATCCTCTCTGAGGTCACCTTTAACATGTATTGGGCCTCAACTCTATTCGCTCTAGTTGCTGCTAGATGAAAGGTCGTCTTGGTTGTTGATAATCCTTCCAATGAGAGGGATACTTGGAAGGGGAACTGTGAAGCTATTGAGCGAAACTATTTAGCTTTCTAGAAGGAGTTAGCTACCTTGTAGAAGAAGGTTAAATTTGTCAAAAATTTGCAAAAAGAGGCAAAGATCCATGGCTCCTCTGCAACCTTGGCTTCCTGAATCAACGAACTAGAATTCTCCCTCAAGAAAAAAAAATGGTGTCGGGAAGCTTTCGACGTTGTTGCTAAGATAAACCATAATGTGGAGGAGAAACAAAAGATTCTTCGAAAGGAAATGAAGGTTCATGTCAAGGATCTGAAGACTCTTGAAGGAGAGGTTGTTGGACTGAGGGAGAAGTTCCTAAATTCTTTTTAGCGTTCTATATAGGGTGTGCTCGGGGTCCGTGATCAGGATGTTGAGTAGGTAAAGAGGTTTTGTTCTTAATCCATGATTCTTGTTGAGGAGTTGGATCCTTTCAAGGCTTCTCTAGAAAGGGACTCTATAGGTGATCCAAGCGCTTCCGCTTTAGGTGCTACGACTTGATTTCTTCTTCTTTTTCTTTGTATTTTTTTCTTTCTTCAGTAATATTCGCTAAACTATTGTGCGTTGGCTATGAAAATCAATATTTATATAAATATTTTAACCTCAATGAATTGTGCCATTTTTTAGCTCCATTTTATTTTTGTTTTGTTGCACTTCTGGTTGGTTACAAGTTGTTGAAACGACGGGGTTTGCTCTTCATCCTTGCAACGTAAAGTTTGTTTTTCGCACGAGTGATTTAGATTTTGTTTGTTTCTAGGGAGATTAAGATTAGTCTGCCTCGATGACGATATAAATTTATATATGTCACAGGCATTGTTGGCGTTCACTAATGGGTTGCGATTTTATGTCATAGAAGTTTCAAGGTCTCCTGCTTTGGGTATGAGAACTCATAAACCTTTTTTGTCATGAGTAGGATGTATTTCTTTGTAACTAGTGACCTCTAGTTAAGTGCGTATTTGTTTGCTCTTCGCATAATGTGGTCTGGACCTAGCGAGACGTGGTTATTGCTTTGTGTTGCACTCCATATCACAGAGGAACATTCCCCAGACAAAGGTATGGTCTTTGTCTATGCCCCTGAGGTATGACTCTAATCAAGATAGACTTCTCTGGGATCCACCGTCTAATGCCTTTGGGTTGGCTAGATCCGAAGAGGGATGTTTCAACTATGTTAAAGAGAGTGCTCCTTAATCGTGAAGTTTTCCTTTAAAGAAAAACTCACGTCATCATACACAGAACACGTAACAATTCTTTGTGGTTGCTGGATTTAATAAGTAATATATCAAATATATTAATCATGCATCTATTTTAAAGAATATCTAATTATTAGGAGGAATTGCGAGGATACAATATTTTCCCTTTATTATTTGTTCCTTTGGTTAGTAGTGGCATCGGCGAAGATGGGCTATCCAAAGGCCCCTTCATGAGGCAGTTGACATCCTACAAAATGTTGACTTTTGACAATCGCAAATATTTTGAGACCACGGATGGCCTCTTTGAATGGTCTGGCGAGGCATCCTTTGATTTGTAGGGCAGCATCATCCTATCTTCATTTGTCTTCGGTGTATACGCCTTTCTTGACCCTTTTTAACATGGTCAATGGTGTTTTATAGGAGATGTGAGAGTATGCTCTCCGACATTCCCCTAGATCTTGATCATGCCGAGGGATTTGTTGAAGAGAGGCAGCATTTCTTAGTGAACCATTTGCTAAAATTTCCTCGGTTTTTAAGAATCAGACTTGGTTTCTTTCTTTCCCCTGTTGCCCCCTTGACGGTTAGCGAAATCGAGCAGTAGGTCAGATAGGAGTGTCAAGCAGGATGTTTTTCAGTGGGAATTGGTGATTTATGAGATCCTCATAGAGCATGTTGCAAAATCATTGAGACCACGGGATCTCCTTTATCTTGTGCTTCAGCTCTAGTCGGTGAAGGCCTGATAACCTAATTACCTCGGACTAGAAATTGTTGTTTGGATTCTGTCACCTATGATGTATCTCATAAAGATTTCTGTCGACAATACAAGCTGTTGAAACCATCTGTTAGTCTGTATCTACATTTTATGGGGCTTCCGCGTTCCTCCCCATCTTCGTGCACTTGGATTTTTCAATTTTGGCATTGTATTAGCGTGCTAGGAGGAAGAGGTGTTTTAGCTTTTGGGTCTCTATCGAATACGTGAGCGTTGTCAATCTCGCCTACGACAATTAACTATGATAGAATAAATAGACATATCTAATATTCTACACTGCAAATGTGTACGAAATGACTTGCGGTAATAACTGCTTCGATTGTCTATAATTCTGTGTTTGGAATTCAGTTTGTTCTGTCACGATCTAGTAATTTCGGTGTGATACGATCTTCGTTCATCACTCATAAGCTATTTATCTCTTGGAGAGGATGTGTCTACCATAGATCTATATTAGGAGTCTCTACAATGAAGATCGTGTCAATGACGGATAAATGACGACATTCGTGATTAGAAAGTTGATCACGAATCTTTAACAAGACATCAGAAGTAATTACCTTTGTCCTCCGACAATTGTGATACATATTTGACTTTAGATCTAGGATCGTTTGCTCATTTCACCTCGTGGAGTTTCCGCGGGAATCAGAGATTCAGAAGTTCGAGGAATCAAAGTCGAAACGATGTTTGATCGGATTGAACATGGCGGATTTGTGTCCAATTTTGAATGCTAGTAACCTGAGAAGGTTACAAACTGACAATTCAGAAAGTGGACGTAAAATCGGGGAAAATACATAAATCAGAAGTCGATTCTCACAGACGACATCATTGTTCCGTCCTGGAACCAAAATTAGTTACAGATGAAGAAATGAGAATTTTGAACAAGTGGTGATGGTCTCTGAGGCGGTGGCGCAGGGTGGGGCTGCATTGTTAGCACTCCACCGCCCAAGTTAGCTCAAAATTCAAGATAATTTTTTGAAGGTCAGAAAAATGTACATTGTGTTCCTCGTGAACTGACTTTATACTTTGAATTAAGTGAATGAATTTGAGATAAACTAGATCTTAATTATTTGGATTTTTGATCAGTTCAAAATAACTTTGAAAAAACTCAATTCACATTGATCATTTCATCGAATATATTAATAATTTAGAAGTTTAACTTAATTATAAAATAAAAATATATTAAATTAGCATAATAAAATGGCATGCTCAATAAATCAGACTATATAAATTATTCAACTAAATCATAAAAAATATTTTAATAGAGAAAATGAGTGATGTATTGACAATGTAAATTAATTTTATACTGTCAACCAATGATAACGATGCATCTCGCCAAGTCACACTGTAAATTTTAAAATATTGTGTGATATGGCAAAATAATATATTCCCATTTGATGATGCATCACCATTAAACCCACTTAAAAAATATAAAAATAAAACAATAATCATTGTTTTCCAAATTGAGTAGAATTTGGTCAATTAAAATCAAGTAAAATTTAATTTAATTTTGTTCGAGTTTAAATAATTTTCTACTTGCTAATTTGAATTTTATTCAGATTGAATTTTATAATTTAACAAATTCATGTTAAGAAATTAATTATAGTATATTATTATTAAAAGAAGAATATCTTTTAACTTTAAAGAATTGTGTACACCTCTTCTAGGACATATTATTTTTTATTTTTTATTTTAATCTACTAAGATATCATTTTAGGGTGTTTGTTAGCATATAATTAATGGAAATGAACTCAATCTCAAACGTCTACGTTTACTTTAGATTTAAACTTTAGAAATATCTCTCAATTAGGGCTAAAAATGAATCGAGTCGAACTCACTTCACCTCGACTCGACTCGTTAAGAATTGGTTCGAGTTCGAATTCGAATTCGTTTTCAAAACTCAAACTCGACTTGTTATAAGTTCACGAACAGTTCGGTTCAACTCGTTAGGTTCATCTCATTAGGTTCAGTTCACATGATTCACGGACTTAAAAACTATTTTTTTAAATATATATATATTTTTTATTATATTTAACATTTTAAATAAATATATTTTTAAAAATAAAATATTAAAATAAAATAAAAGTTATCATATTGAAATTTAACTTTATCTTCGAAATTTACTAATTCAAAACTTACACAACTTTTAAGAGATACATTTGAGAGTCTAATTCAAAAACTACTAAATTGAAGATTAAATTTGTCTAAGATTTGGAGTAAATATTTAAACCTAATCTTAAAGACAGTATAACTCTTCTCATATGTAATCGAGTTGACTCATGAACCTAACGAGTCGAACTATGTATAGTTCAAATTCAGCTCATTTAATTAACGAACATAATTTTTCGCTCATACTCAACTCATTTGGTTATGAACCCTAGTTCAACGATTTAATTGTCGAATCAAATTCCAAACTATTTCCGAGTTGGTTTAGTTCATTGTCAGCCCTACTCTCAAGTCCTACTCTCAAGTGTAAACAAAAGAAAAACAAATATGACAAAACATCAAAAATAGAATTGTATTAAATTACATATACTCTAGCAACAAAAAACAAATATAGCAACAAAATCTCATTATTTTTACATAATCATTAAATCGTGTAGTTAAAAAGAACATTGATCGCCAACTCAATGTTTTTGAATTTTAACATGCTCTATCATAACCAAGTGTACTAAATGCTGATATGTTTGTCTCAACTACCACTTTTTGCTATTTTTAACTATAAAAACTGCTTTTAAATTTCATCACATATCTAATCTCATAAATGAAATGCTTCATGTATACACCATGCTTAACAAGGTAAAAACTTATTTTTCATTCCATACATAGCAGTTAATGTTTCCTTAAATGGTTTGCTTATATAAGAAACAACTCCACTGCCAAACATGAAAATGAATTAACATAAGAAAACAAAAGAACACATGACAATGAATTGACATAGGAAAACAAAGTCTAAATCAGTGTAAAAGATGGGTTTAAATATACTTTTGGTTCTTGTATTTTATTAAATATAATACAACATAGGTTACATTGAATATCTAAGTTGGAACTTGACCTAAATAAATAAGCATAAGCACAAAGTCTGTGGTTATGAAAGCAGTGATGATAGAAAAATCTCCACAGAAGCATGAAGTATCATGTGAAGCCAAATATATCATGCACATGCACATGCACTTTCTAAATATGTATCCGCCCGCACGATTCCCTTCGAGAAAACATCGCGCTAATCCCTGCATGCAACGCTAACTTTTTTCAACAGCATAATCTGAAATAATTTGAACATAAGCACTTATATGATTAAGAGCTTATGCTGTAAGTGTTTAATTAAGCTGTTTTGAGAAAAAAAAATGCAGCACTTATACCTAGCTTCATATCATTCCCATTTTTTGTCTATTTAATTTCCATTGCTTCAATAAAACTTGTACTCCTTCTAGCAAAGTTGCTCTCTTTCCCTCTGCATAATTCCATAACTCCGACGTTACGTACCGTCCACTTGGATTATATTCATTTATCTCTTTCAATGCAGCCACCACAGCTCCGTAGACTTCTTCCCCCATCTCGTTTTTAAGTTCTTTCAGCTTTTCATCTCCATCGTCTATAACTTCCTGAAATTAAAAGACTTAAACTTAAAAGTGATATCTTGTAGGCAAATTCCAGGAGATCGATCAATAAGCTTGAGAAAGGCACACCTCGTGTTTCCCTTGAATTAGAGCAATTTTAAATGGATGCCAGTCAGGGTCCTTCAGATACTCTTCCCATAACGAACATAGTTCCGAAGCTCTATCTTCTGCATCATCTGCGTTAAATTTTCTCTTCATAGCTTCTAGAAATGGTCTATAACCAAGCTCCCCCATTCTCTTCACACCAATATTGGAACGACTCGGTATCTCTTTAATGGTCTGCAATAGATGAAATTCCAAGAGTTTAAAAACTGTGAGAAAATTTCAAAGCGTAAAATCCACGCGCTAGAACAAGATAAAGATATGGTAGAAAAATTACAGTAATCAATTCCTTTCGAGCTTCCTGCAGTTCGTCGTTGCTCTTACGCTCTTTAACGATCAGTGTTTGGTTCAATGCGTCCATGTCTCGAAGAGACTGTTCCTTTTCTCTTAAATCTATGTGTAAAGCATCCATCATATCCAGAACATCAAAGTCTCCATCATTTTCCATGTGCTTCATGACATTTAATTTTCCTTTTAGTTGCTGAATCTCCAATTCCAGTTTTTGTTTCAGATTTAGTTGTTTTTCAAGCTGAATGATTTTCGCATGGAGCTGTTCTTTTTGCCGCTGGATAAATCAATAGTCAAGCACCATTAAATTAACAGCATGTTACTCTGATACTAACTAGGACGGTTAAAAACGAACCAAACCGAAAAGGTAGTTTCAGTTCGGAATTGGTTTGGGACTAACCATTAACAGTTGGATTCAATTTTTCCGAACTGTTGAAACTTTTAACGATTTGGTTTGATTTTCCTTCTTGAACAGAACAATACACAGTCATAATCCTGACATTGACACTTTTGAACATTAACAAAGCAAAAAACAAGTTATACAAACCTTTTGATCTGCGGCCAGTTTCAAAACATTTTCTCCGGCTTTCTGTTGCTCCAGAGCAGCCATTTGAAGAAAGCGGTTTTTCGTTGAAGTCTAAAAAAGCAACGAAAATAAGCATGGAGATAAACAAAACATTCAACAAGATTCTTAGCCACATAGTTAATACTGTTGATAATATTAATCAATCACCGTTAACAGTATTTTCACTTCGATCCTCGTCTTAGATTAATTTCAATCATAGAACGATAGAAGAGTTTAAACAAAAAAGCTAGAAAAGCACTACACCTCGTTAATCTCATCTTCCAACTTCTTTCTTTCACTTTCATTATTTGCCTCGCGTTTTTCCAGTTCAATTCTTCGCAACTCAAGTTCTTTTTTCTGAGATTCCAGTTGCAACTTAAGTCGTTCATGACCATTCAAAATACTCTGAAAGTGTTGAGTTGCACTTGACTGTATTTTCTTCATCTCTGAATACAAGCAGAGCAATGAAAAACATAGAACAACGTCATTTGAGTAATTCAATGCTACTTACAAGTTACAAACAATGATTGACAAGTAATAATTCAAATTCGAGAAAAATTAGCGTAATAAAATATACCTTGACAATGAGATTGAGAGAGTCTGTCTATTTCGTCCATTACAACGTCCATGCGAAGTGTAATTTCATCGCATACTACTTCCATTTCTTTTATCTTGTTTTTCTTTACCTGAATAATGTTAGTCATACTAGACACAAATTTATTGAACATTCTAGCATCATGTTCCATGATTTCAGATATTGTTTTAACATCCATCTTCTGTAGCTGTTCCCCGATTGTATTGTTCATTTGATAGTCATCAGCTCGGGCAATCCACGCATAAAGACCGGATTTTTGTTCGGTATAAGAAAGCCAATCCTTTTTCCCATGATGATCTAATTCATACGCTCTTTCAAATGCCAATGCATTATATAACCCTAGCCAACTTTTATTGAATTCCACAACTGCAGCTCCGGTGTGACCCCAGGAATTCCAGAGTGGGCGGACTCGACGTGGATTAAAGCCCCTGACTCGGTATTCATCCCTTAGCTTGGAACCACTTTCACCAAAACATCGCCCGGCTTCTGTCATTTTCGTGGGAATGTTAACCACAATCCCAGTCCACGGCCACACAAACTGCATTTCGGAATCGACAAGAATGCCTCGATTTGTTGGTTTCGTTGGATGTTGTCTTACATTCACAAGATTCTTTTCCAAATTTACAGGTTTTATCGGATGTTCCACATTCATAATCATAAGATCCTTTTCCAAATATTTCACTAAAGCTAGATGATTGGCTTTTTCCAATACACTTCTCTTTTGTGAGTCGCTCTGACCGACCCCTAAAGCATGATTAAGGAGCTCACTGTACCTATAATCGCATTTTCTCTTGGGGCAATACGGACATGAGAAAGTTTCTTTTGATGTTTTCACCTTGTAACGTCCCCTTTTGAGTTCTTCATAGGATTTATTTACAAACAACACATTTATTTGAGATGCCCTTTTATTAGTATCATTCTCATAAGTGTGACCCGATAAAGTTTCTCCTCGGTTCGAAGTTGTGGTACCTGAAAGACAAAACAAGGAGTTAGTGAATGGCCCCAAGTTACTGGAAAAAAAGTTAAAACATAAATTTTGTCATAAATGTTTGATTAAGAGTGAGATCCAAATTACCTTCATTTGTAGGTTCTGAAGATCCACTGACATTTATAAGATCCCTTTTCAAGTATTTGACCAAAGCCAGATGATTCGCCTTTTCAATGCCACTTCTACTTTGCGAGATACTCCAACCCACCCCAGAAGCATGTTCAATGATTTCCCTGTACACGTAATCCCGTTTTCTCTTTCTATTAGGACAGTAAGGGCAAATGAAAGTTGAATTAGAGGTTTTCACATTTTGACTCCCCTTTTTTAGTTGTTCATATGCTTTTTTTATTTGCCTCGCATTAATCTGAGATGCACTTTTGTCAGAATCTTTGTCGGAACATAGAGGTGTCACATTTTCTTCCCACCTTGGTACTACGGTTCTTGCTTCCCGGCTTGGTACCGCGGTTCCTGAATAACAAAAATTTGCGTTAGTACAGATTGTTGTCAATTTAATTTATCAATTTTCCATATCGATAGGGTGTGTCTATTTACATGCTACTTCCACTAAATATCATCGTGAATTGAATTGCCAATTTCAGTATATTAAGTAACTAGAAAAACTTGAACTTTAAGTTTTGAATAATTGCTTCCTTAACAGGAGAATCACCTTCATTCACAGGCCTTGCTGGAGCAATCACATTCACAATTATATCATTTTTCAAATATTTCATTAAAGCCAGATGAGTTGCCTTCTCTTTGACACTTCTCTTTAGCGAACTACTCTGACCAACCCCAGAAGCATGTTCAAGGAGTTCCCTGTACACATAATTCGGTCTTTTCATTTTCGGACAGTACGGACAAGTGAAAGTCTCTTCTGAGATTCTCACTTTGAGACTTCCCTTCTTGAGTTCTTTATAAAATTTATCTACATACAACCGACTTATTTGAGATTCACTCGAATCGGTAACCTTGTTAGAGCATTGAGGCGTGACAGTTTGTCCTTGGCTTATCAATTTTGTATCTGAAAGACAAAAACTAGTTTTATCGACGGGTTTTGACGGTCCAGGCATGCTCACAATATCCTTTTCCAAATACTTCAACAATGCGAGATGATTAGCCCTCTCTCTGGCACTTCTCTTTTCAGAACTACTCCGACCGACCATAAAAGCATGCTCTAGGAGTTCCCTATACGCATAATCCTGTTTTCTCTGAGGGCAGTACGGACAGATGAAACTCTCGTCTGAGGTTCTCACATTCCGAGTTCCATTTCTTAGCTCTTCGTAAGCTGTATCTACATACCACCAACTTATATCGGTATCCTTGATAGAACAATGAGACATTACAGTTTGTCCTGGACTTATTGTGTTCGACCCTGAGAAACAAATATTATTTAGTTTTATCGGTATGTGTAATGTAAATAACTTTAAAACGACGACTAAAAATGAACGGAGCGAGTAACAAACCGATCACCTTGATCTACAGATTTCAATGCACCGTCCTTACTCATAAGATCTTGTTCCAGATATTTTACCAAAGCCAAATGACAACCTTTCTCTTTATCACTTCTCTTATCAGAACTACTCCTACCGATCCCAGTGGCATGATTAAGAAGTTCATTGTACTTATAATCCTGTTTCCTCTCAGGGCAATACGGACAACTGAAAGTCTCAGCCGAGGTTTTCACCTTCTGTTTCCCTGTTCTGAGTTCTTCGTAAGACGAAACGACATACCACCAACTCAAATGGGATACCGTTATGCCAGTATCCTTTATAGAACAGTGAGCCATTAGAGTGTCACCTAGGCTTGACTCAATATTACGGCACCTAAAACACACAAAAAAAATACATTAGATGACGCATGATCCTACTTGAATTTTGACGTAAACTCAACGTGAATCGCCAATTTCAGAAGTTTATTAAAACCGAATTGAAGTGAGTCGTCTTCATGTTCATTGGCTTAAAATTCACCAACTACATTGACTACAAGATTCACCTATTATAGTTAAGTACTAATCAGTTATCAATTATAAGTGCTTATGATATAACTGCTTAAGTAAGTTGTGTATCTAAAAGGAGGTTATAAATGTAACATCCACAATGATCAAACAAAAAACACATAAAAACCCTAACCATTTCCAGCACTTTATCGATCACACGATCAACAACGAAAATCACGGTGAATAAATAAGCTAAAGCAAAAAAAAAAAAAAGAGAAATCAATGATGAAATTTACTGGAAATGAATGAAGTTGAAAAGAAGAAAGCATGTTAATAATGAGAATTAAAGTAGAAAAAATTGAAATGGGGATTTTGATGATAATGAAAGTGTGATGCAGGAATTAGAGGAAGGAATGTTAACCTTGAAGAGAATTGAAGAGGTGTGCATGAGAGAAATTGAGATTGAAATTGAAATTGAGATTGAAGAGGAAGAATGAAAGGGGAAATTTAGGATAGTAGCTATTGAATTTGGTAAGAAGAACATAGAACGTTGCTACCACCAATGCCGTTAAGTTTGGAAGACACGCGCGTTGGAAGTGTTGCCTCGAAATTTGATTTATAAATTAAATGAGTTTAATTTAAATCAAAATTAAATTGGATTCCAACATCATCGATTGATTTTTTAGGACTATTATTCATAAATATTCATCACATTTGCAGGACTAGTTGTTAAAATCAAATAATTTAAGAATATTTATATTCTGGACTGCGCCGATACTTAGCCCACAACTAAGCAAGTTCAAACTCCAATGAGATTGGGCCTAAGAATATTACGATGTCCGACAGAAGTTCCACTAAACTCAGCCTCTCCCCCGTCATGCATAGACCAACAGCTGTCTGGCAGGACCCTCACAGCCGACCAGCCAGCCTCTTTCTCCCTCGTCGTCGGGCAGAACCCAACCTGTCCGGATAGCTCCTCGGACCTCTCCCCTCGTTCTCTACGTGTCCCTCACGCAGGGACACGTCATAAAGTAACTATCCACGTCTTGGAGATTCGATCTTCTTCCTCTCGGATAGTGCGGAACAGTTATCCTAGGGCGAAGACCACGTGCTGGTCTTCACGACGCCACGTCAGCCTTAACAGTTACTAACACTGGGTCTGGCAGTCCAACTCAGTGCTAGGTAACTGTTGGCCCTGCGCTGGGAGTTCACTGTAAATACCCTCTTCACTCACTAGAGGGTCGGGTAACTTAATTCTCTTACTCTCTCTCTCTCTGTACTTGCTACCACTCTACTCGTCACTTACTTTGATATCGAAGTGTGTTTCAGGTACACCCCCTCCTCCTCCATATGTAACAGCCCAAATTTCATTAAATAATTAATTGTGTTAATTAATTGATTTATTTGGATTATTCTAATTATTTGAATAATTAGATGTTTGTTTAATGGATTGATAGATGTTTTGAGAAAGTAAATATAATGGAAAGAAAATGATAGAGAGAAAAGAAAAGAAAAGAAATAAAAGGATATAAAAAGGGGATTGGAGAGAAAGAGAAAGATAGAAAGAAAGAAAGAAAAGAGAAAGAAAGAAGAAGAGGAGAAATGAAGAGGAAAAAGGGAAAACTTGGAGAATCATCAAGAACCGACATCAAAGCTCCGATTAATCGAGGTAAGGGTGAGAAACATTGCTATTTAATCATTGTATGCTATTATGTATGTTGGGTTTGGGTTTGTGGATGTTTTTCATCACTTTTCAATTAGGGCAAATGTTGGATTAATCGGTAGATTGATGATTTAATCGGTTGGAACTGAGTAATAATGCCGTAGAATAGTCGGGTAACATGTATTGATGTTGTTTGTACTGATTTGGATGTGTAAGAGAGGGTTGATGATGTATTGGTGAAGGAGAAGACAGAATGGGGTTCTGTTCTGCGCAGGTTCGCTGGCTCTCGCCAGGCGAGCGAAGGCGAAGCTTCGCCAGGCGAAGCCTAGCGAATGTTGGCGAATAATTATATTTAAGTCCCAGTAGACTTCGCTGGTGGGTTCGCCAGGCGAAGTTGGATAGCGAAGGTTCGCCCAGCGAAGGTGCCGGCGAATGGTGGCGAATGAAGTCAGTAGCTACTGACTTGGGCTCGCTGGGAAGTCTCGCTAGGCGAAGCCTAGCGAGTGTTCGCTGAGAGAGTTCGCCAGGCGAAGGCCAGGCGAAGGTTCGCTGCGAGGGTTCGCCAGGCGAATGAAGGCGAATGTGACAGCATTTTTCTTTTGCTGTGTTGTTCATGTGGAGATGGGTTGGTTGCTTCTCATAGGGGAATGCCTCTATGATATGATATAGATATGATCTATTGTGATGATGTGTGCTGTGGGTAGCCTACGGGCGTGAATCCTAGTTGATTCGCGATGCGTATTAATTGTGATAAATAGAAATACATGTGAATACAATGATGAATGTATGTGTATTGTCTAATGAACTTGCGAATGCTTGATGTGTATACAATTAGGTAATAAGTATGCATGAGAACATTGTGGATATATGTGTGCATAGCTTATAATTGTATTATTGGTACTGTGACATGTATACCTTGTATGAAATGGCATGAGATGAATAATAAACATAATACAAAAATGTATTGTGGATGTATATTGTTTATATGCGGTTGTATGTTAAGATACATGAAGAATGCATGAGAGCATATTGATGGATATGCGTGCATCGTTTGATAAATATGATGTTTGTATTGATTGGATGCGATTATGTATGAACAATGCGTGAGAATATATCGTGAATATATGTACATTGCGTGGTAAATGTGTTATGCGTGTAAGCATGATGTAATTCTTGTATGATGAATTACTTGAGAATGCATGAGAACATATTATGGATATGTGTGCATTGTTGATAATACGGTGATGACATTGAATTGTGAATGTATATTGTTGGTATATGGTGGTATGAATAGAATGCATGAGAACATATCGTGGATATGTGTGCATTGTTTGATAACTGTGAAGAATGCATGAGAACATATCGTGGATATGTGTGCATTGTGAGTGATAATGTGGTGATAGTGTTGAATTATGAATACATCGATGAATGTTATGTGAATATGTTGTGTGTGCAATCATAATGTAATTCTTGAAGAGATGAATTATTTGAATGCATGAGATTAAGATGTCGGTCTTAAGTGCATTTGTTGTGGTTGATTGTACATGCATCATTTAGTCAAGAGGCAATGTCTGTTAGTTTTGTGGAAACTAGTGGCTTGTCCCAAACCTAGAAGAGTGGGTTTGAAGGCTTAGAGGACGGGCCTTTGTGGTTATCGGTCTAGAAGAGTGGACCCGGTTTAATGTAAAAACCGAAAAAAAGATAACGGGTTATCGGTCTAGAAGAGTGGACCCGGTTTAATGTAAAAACCGAAAAAAGATAACGAGAGTCGGTACCGCATTGCATGAGTTGCATTGAGTTGTTGAGTCACATTAATATATGACATATGCATGAAGAGATGCTTATGTGTGAATGATGAGATTGTGAAATTGTGAAGTATGCATGTGAATGAGATGTTTGTTGAATACTTATGAAGCGTGCATGAAGAGATGCTTACGTGTGAATGTTAAGATTGTGGAATTGTGGATGTATGCATGATGTAAAATGCTTGGTGAATATTCATGTTGTATATAAATATAAGTGACGATGTAAATGACTATGAGTTGAATTGTGGTGAGAAATAGGAGTTAATTATATGATACCTATGTATACATGATTTTATGCTTTGATTATTATGGTAATATTTCTCACCCTTCTGCTGTTTTATAATGCTCTATGAGGCATTGCAGATTAGGTTGTTGGAAGCCTTTATGAAGTTCTGCTTGTAGTTCGAGGTCGCTACGTGTGTAGCGGTTTAGTAATTATTTATGGGTCGAGTCATGCTCTGGTCGTGTAACACGGGGATCGATTGCTGGTGTTTTAGGATTACATTATGTAACCTAAGTTATGTTTTCATATTTGGAGTAATTGAGATAATGAGATGATGGCCTTAGTGCCTAGAGATGTTGATTTTATATGATGAAAGTAAATGTTTCTTTTAAAGGATTTTCATTAATGAATCCGCTGCTGCATGCAAACTGAAATTTTGTAAAGCATGATTATTTATTGAAATATTAATGAGCATGACAGATTGTTTTGATGTGGTGCAAGTTTTGTGTGACGCCCTTTTTATTTGGATGCATGTTAATTTTACTCTGATTATGCATATATTTTCCGTGGGGTTTAGAAGGGTGTTACACCATACCTTCGATAGACAGCTAGCAGATCAACGACGCGTGACAGATCATAGATCCCTTTCTGATAAAATACGACCAATTTATATTCAGACTTTTTTTCATAGTTATACCCAAGTAAAAATATGCAATTTAAGAGACATATATCCAATAAGAATATATGTTTCTCTTAATCATAAAAATTAAAAATATATTATTTAATATTATATTTCCTTTTTTAACTTCTTTATTTATTTTTACAAGATCATCATGGATTGTCCTCGTAGTTATTATGAAGTTGTTGAGTTTTCTTGCTTTTTGCTTATATATTAATAAATCTTATTTTAAATATGACAATTAACCATACTAATTTATAAATATGATTTTTATCATCTAATTTTAAATTCAAACTATTTTCATCCTTTTATTTTAAACTCAAATTGTTTGAGTTCATGTCTCGTGTTTTTTCATAAAAGTTCGATGAGATTTTTTATTTTTTATCTAATATTATATCTACAAAGTTCAATAATATATTTATATACGATGATTTATCATATTTTATAAATAGTTTATCATAAAAAAAATAAAAAACATCG